TATATATATATATATTTAAATATGTGTAATATAGAGGGGGAGCTGTAAGGATATACATCTTCATGGTAGATATGTCTCAATGGTAGGAATTTAATTTTTAAATTTTATTTTGTGTGTGTGTGTGTTTTACTTTTTCCCCCACAATGAGCACATAAACCTTCTTAAAGCAGAGAAACCAAGTTTTTTCAGTAGTAGTTGCGGAGCCTAGTGAATCAAAGTGATGAGAATGAATTACAGTGAAACCTTAATGACAGAGAAATCTAGGTTCTTACTAGTTATGTTAGTTTCACTTGGCTTCGATAAACCTGTTTCCTAAACAATAATAGGGGATTATAGTTTTGTCCCGGTGAGCTGTTGCCAGGATTAACTGAGATGCAGTGTGCATGAAAGTACCAAGCACAGTCCTTGGCATAAGATAGTGCTTCATAAATATTAAACCTGACTCTTGGTAGCCATAGCTCTTCCTTGCTGCCCAGGAAGGCCTAGCACCTACAGCTGTCTCACATAGAAGAAAGGAATCTGGTTCCCTTGGCAGGGGCCTCTTACTAAACCAGCAGCTGCCTACATACCTGGCACTCTACCCTCCTCTGTTTTTACCATCTGGAGACTAATAGGATCTCATTGCTTAACCTATTTATGTGTGTCTCTCTTCCTTTCTCTCAACAATCTCAGCTGCCTAGGTAGTATTTTTGAGTACTATAATACTCAAATAATAATGTGACATTATTTTCAACATAAAACACATTTACAGAGCACCTATATTCTAAAGATTGCCCCAGGCTCTTGCTCTACATTCATATCATCCAGAAATGTTTGTATGAGCTCACAGTCTAGTTGAGCATTTAGATCCTTCAACAACTCCTATGTGTTGCCAACTCCTAAGTGCGTAACAGGTACACACACCATGTGTGGAAACTCAAAGGGCTAATTTACCAGTGTATGCACATGTGCATGAGAGAGGAGAAGAATGGAAAGCAGTTAGTATTTAAAGAGTAAGGATTTCCTCACCCTATATTATATATCAGCTTCATAGACTATCTTTACTAAAGAGAAAATGTGCCCAGTTTGCTGAACTGGTTTCACGGCCTGCTAAACCAATGCCTGAGTGGGGCTGTCTCTCATCTTAATTTTTATTGAAGTATGTTCACAGCCACACAGCGGGTCATCTGATGATGTTGCTGAGGCAGTGGGGTGGAAAGCAGGTCCAAGGAGTTACAGACTAGCTCCGAGTGTTCTCAGATGTTTTTGAGCTTAATGGAATATACACGTATTTTGATTAACCAGCAGTTTTAAGACTAAAAGGGGTGCCCAAATTGAGCATTATTTGATATTTTCATTACTTATTAGGCAAACATTAACATTAATGGGAGTAAAAAGAGATTCACCCACAGTTCAGATTCCCTAACAAACTAAACTTTTTTCACTTTTTCTTACTCCCTTCCAGCCTTTGTTCAAATCCATAAATCCATGAATATGATAATAGTTGCTAGTTAGATACAATTCTATATTCTAATTCTTTATCATATGCATCTTTTCAGATGCATACCAGAGTGATGCTAAGCACAGCAATATTCAAAACCAGGGCACTGTGACAAGAGCCCCTTCAGGCCTGCGGACAGTCCAGTGGAAGACATTGGCAGGACAGTGAGACACACCCTGTTCTGCCTGTGTTATTTATGCCTCTGGCAGTGAAGCCCCTGACAAAGAGGCATGTCACTGGAACACATACTCTTTGTTCACAGAGGTGCATGCCAACACCGGCTGTGTCAGAGGGACAGTATCGGGTCTGTAGTCTCTCCTCCTTTGGCTCTTTTGCTTTCTTTTTATTTGCTGCACATTGTGGCTATGTTTATTAGTTACTTGTAGCTTAATATTATAAAACACAGATTTGTCTTGTGAGCTATGTATCACGGGGAGAGTCCTTCATACCCTTAAGTTGGTCATAAAAAAGAGGACAGGATCCCAAGATTTGCCGTTTCTCCCTAACAATCAATACCAGCTCCCCGGTGAGCCACTAGGTTACCACTCTCTCTAGCGCACAGCTATCACATTCCAGTGTCCTTCAGCATCTCCGCTTTACCTTCTAGATGGCGCCTCCATGCTGTTTGGTATGACAGGCCCTCCACAACTGTTCCCAACCTACTGTTCCAATGGAGGCTCCCATGGTATGACTTCATGCCAGTCAGACTAATGGTGTAGCGGAAAAGATAGGCTTTGGAGTCAGACCCATCTGGATTTAAACCTTGGCTCCACCTCTTGTTGGCCATGCAGCTTATGGCTCCTGAACTTTGGTTCCTCATCTGCAAAATGAATAAAATACAATCTATTTCACAGGGTTGTCCGAGGATTAAATGAGAAAGAACTTAACAATCCTTAAAAGTAGATGCTCACTCATTGCTTGTAAGCTCAGGCAACTGATTTGCTAGTTTTCATACAAGGCTTCATCTATGGGCCTGTGCTTCTAAAAACTTTATAGCTACAGGCCTCCTGTGTGACATCCTGAAGAGTATTTCCCTCACCATTTTCCCTCACCATTTTCCCTCACAGAGTCGTCTGCTGAAACTAACATTTTGAACACAAGATTCAGGAAACAACTTACTAGAAAGTTTTTGTATTTCTTCCATAGTCCTTCTAAAACTTTCTTTTGCTTAGAAGTTTTAATTCATTCAATATTTCAAAAATTGATATAGGTGGTTTTGTTTGCACAAAATGAACTTAGGTAAAGTGGGAGTGGGGGGTCTTTCTTAACTCTAAAAACCTTAGAGTGTAAGTTATTCTCTATTCATATTCATTCATTTTTTCAATCTTTGGAGCCTCTTGTCTGTATAAGAATTAAGATGGCATCTGATTTGCCACAGGACACACTTATTTTACGCCGAATGTACCATTACCTTACTCCCCAGGGGTCTGCAAAGCAAACTTAGGGCTCTAACCCTGTCAGGGTGCTTTCTGAGCCAGGCCATTACAAAGGCTACCTGCCAAGCTTCATCGGAAACGGAGACCATTAAGAATTCACACACCTCACAGGGGGTGCCCTAAGGAACAAATGAGATGAAAGTCTGCAGGAAAACCCAGTGAAACTCCAAGGCTCCATTAGAAATGCTAATTGCTGCGTTCCTAGTCTATATTTAAATGTTAGAAAACCCAGGGAGACTCTCCTGAACTCAGGGACGCTGGGCTCCTCGGTGGCTTGGGCAAGCGGCAGGGGATGCCCTCATCCTCGCCGGCCACGAAGGCCGACTCCGCCCGGTGCCACGCGCAACCACGCGGGCCTGCCGAGATTCCGCCCCTGACGGGGTCCTCGAGGCCTTTCCACCGCCATCGGGCTGAGACAGCGGGGTTCCGGCTGGCGGCGGCCCCACACTGTTTGAGGGAGCTAAGGTGAACCCGAAAGCCCCCGTCCCACGTTCCCTTCATGCCTCCCGCCTTCGCGGGCGTCCGGCTGCTTGGTCGCCTCCTGCCGACTGACTTGGTTTTCCGGACCGTAGAAGCGGGACTGTAACACTTCCCCCAACCCTCCCGGCCAAAGTCCCAGTGTGGGCCGGAGACCCGTCTCCGGGCGCGGCGAGGTGGGCTTCGGGGGTCTCAGCTCCGCCCCGACGGGGAAGCCCCGAGAAGGTCTTACATCAGCCGCCCCACGTGCAGTCGGAGGGAGGGAGGAAGTCGCTCCTGTCCCCCGGGCTGCGCCTTTCCCCGAGCCCCCGCCCCTCCCGCCGCGCGTCTCCCCGCCCCGTCCTTGGTGCAGCCGCGGCCGCCGAGCCGAGCGGCGCCGCACGGGGCCGAGTCGAGCCGAGCCGAGCAGCTGCCCGCGCCGCGTCGCCGGTTTAAGCGCAGTGAGGAGCCGCGACCGGGGGCGGCGGTAGTGAGACCGGCGCTGCGCTCCAACCCCCTTTTCCCTCCATGGTTTCTCTCCGCTCCCGTGAGTAACTTGGCTCCGGGGGCTCCGCTCTCCTGCGCGTCCGCTGCCCGCCGCCCGCGACCGCGTCTCCGGCCTCTGCCGCGAGCAGACCCCTTCCGACGGCCCTCGCTGTGCAAGCCGGGACGCCTCTCCCCCCTCGGCCCCCGCCGCGGAAAGTTAAGTTGAAGAGGGGGGAAGAGGGAAACATGGACATGAAGAGGAGGATCCACCTGGAGCTGAGGAACCGGACGCCGGCAGCTGTAAGCAGAGCCCCTTCGGGCGCCTTCTTCCCCCGATGACTTGCACGTAATGGTGGCCACCTGAGGGGCCCGGGCCGCGGGTTCGCCGGCCCCGGCGCGGGGAAGGGCACAGCTCGCGGGCTCCGATGGGGAAGGCGGGCGGGCGGGCGGGCGCGGAGGGGGGGGAGCGAGCGCGCGGGGATTAACTCTTTGCCGCCCGCGAGCCCTCTCGGCCGTCCGGGGAAGGCGGTGGGATGGGGGAAAGAAAACTTTGATCTCCAAGGCTGCCGGGGTCTTTACCCGGAGGAGAGCGTGTGCGTGCGGCCGGCGGCAAGGGAGGCAGCAGTGGGTTGTGTAACGCTGGGAGCCATGTTTGCAGCCTCCCGGGATGCGCGGCCAGGCGCAGGCCCGGCCTGCCGAGGAACCGCGCAGCCAGCTCGGACTGGGCCCGCCGCCGGCCAGGCCGGGCTTCGCGCGCCCCAGCCTGGCGGTGAAGAGGCTCGGGCGGGGCGGGGACTTCTCCAGCCAGGATTTGCGGTTGGCGCCGGCCCGACCGAAGACAAGGTTGGAGGGGCGAGAAAGGGTCTTCGCCTCCAGGAGGGCGAGGAGCCCCGGGGGCTCGAGCGGGCGCGGCCTGGCGCGCGCGAAGCGGGGGAGGGGCGAGCCGGGCGGCGTAGGTGGCGCAACACCGCCCCTCTCGAGGCCAAGTTTGAAAAAAAGAACGTGGTTCCCGCCATTTTTCAAGCCTAAAAATAAAACTTTTCCCCCCATCTCTCTCGCTCCCCTTTAGTCTTCCTGGCCTTCCCCACCCTGTCTTCCAGGGCGCGACCCGGTCCATCCGGGCCAACCGTGGTGGTCGCGGCGGCGTCGCCCCCCCCCACCCCCACTGCCGCGGCGTTGGAGTCCGGGGGCCCCGGCCCGAGAGGCTGGCCCCTCGGTGTGGGCGGGCGGCGGCACCTCGCGCCAGCCCGGGCGCGCCACAGGCCGACACAGCGCCATGTTGGCGGGTGCCCGTCTACCGACGCCGAGTAAGCCGGCAGATAGGCTTGGCCCGCCGGTCCCCGGCGCGGGCTGCTGGCTGCCGCCTCCTGGGTCGAGGTCGCGGCTAGGTTTGCGTCCGCCTCGCCTGGGCTCGGCTCTCACTGGCCGGAGCCGTGCGCTCCGGCGGCCGCCGACTCATCTCTCGAGTGCGCTGCCGCCCCCTCCCCCTTCTTAAAAGGGCAACGCCAGTTGGCCGCCTCCTTCCCGGCCTGGCGCTGGGGGTTCCGCGGCCTCGCTAGGCTTGCGGGCAGAGTGGCCTCGGTGGCCTCTGCCCCCGCACGTGCTCGAGTGCAGCCCAGTGAGGCTGGCACTCGCCCGCCGCGGTTGCGTGAGCGGCGGGCGGGCCTTTAAGAATCGCCTCCTCACCCGTGCTCTCCCCGCGTTCGCGAGCGGTTTCCAGCAGCCGGGCGCGGGGCCATGTTTCCTGGCCCTCCCGCGGGGAGGCCGCGCCTCCGCCAGTCCCCGTTCCCGGGTGAGCGGCGTTCCCTGGCCGTGGGTGAGCTCTGGGCAAGCCTTCCCACCCCGCTTCGTTCTGGTTTCCTGCAGTCAGGTAGCTGTGGGTAACAAGTTGCCAACTTGTGGGAATTGTCAACCGCGGTTAAGCTGGTGTGCTCCAGGTTTCGATTCTGTGAGGTCAAGGCAAATGAGGTCGGCGAGGGCCACACCACGTGGCAGCCCCTCGCGTCTTTGGAAGACTAGGTGGGGTGGGCATCTCTTCTCGCCCTGGGGGTTTTAATGTCGAGGTTTGACCAATGCCCGTCCTTTCCGCCCAGTCAGACATTTTGTGTTGGCCACGTGCTAGGATGTATTGAACCGTTAAGACTAAACACTGTAAAGCTTGTGCTCTAATTTTGAAGAGTTGTTAATTTCAGACGTTTTCGTTAGTATGTGTAGTTGCAGATCAGTAGGAGTGGAGTTAAATTTTGACAAAATTTCTAAAAGTGTGCGCCTGGATCTCCAAAATGCTTTAAAATGTGGAATTTAAATTCTTTGTGTGCCAACTGAAGTAGTTAATACTAAGTTAGAGCAGTGCTGCTCCCTTTGGAGTAAGTAGGCTGTTGTTCCCAATAACTAATGTATTGCTGTTTAAAATATGTATATATGTGCAAGTGTTAACGTTTCAAGTAAATAATTTAGGCCTTACCCTCCTGCAAAGGCAGGCCAGAGTCTTGTGGTCATTTAATTAAACGCTCAGTTTGTTAGTTGCATTATCCACATTTCAAATGCTCAAAAGCCGCAAGAGACTGGTGGCTATACTGTATTGGATAACTCTGGCCTATAGTAATCCACTCGTTTATTAAGTAAATATTTGAGTACCTGCAGTATTCCAGGGCCTGGAAAAGCATTGTGAATATGATGGAGCAGCCACTTCCATCCTGAATTCAAAACCCAGTGGTGCCTGTTGCACCGGTACAAGTTAGGGGCCTTGCCGAGAGTGTCATAGGAGTAAGTCAAGATTGTAGGGGTAAAGACAGGCTCCCCTAGGACTCTGAGACCAGAAGTTAGGTTCTTAGGAGAAGAAAGCTTTCACCTTAAACTGAGGGCTTTTTAGAAAAACAATGCTGTAGATTTTGAAGGAAATTTTAAAAGGGGTTAAGGAGTGAGTTGCACAAAAGCACAAGGCAAGGCAAATGAGAAGTCCCAACATGACTGCTTTAAAACCAAACTCATTTAATCATGTGGTTCCTTAATGTTTGTAGTGAGGCCAGCTACTAGAGAGTAGGCTTGGCCTCCGGGATCCTGCAGACTTTTGTCCTTTGGGGAAAGAACCCTTTCATCACTGAATGAACCAACTGTAACCCATGGTTGGCCTTAATGTCATTCATTGAGTTCTGCGAGTGTTTCAGGAGGGTAAGTGGAAGTTTGGTCATAATTTTTTTTTTTTAAGACCAGAAGGGCTTTTATTATATATATGGCCTTTTTGTTTTTATTTTATTTTGAGGTTTGATGAAGGCCGTGGTAACACTTCACTTTCTTGTGTTCTTTGGCCAACAGGTTCAGTTCACCTATTACTCTTACCTTTATTCCTTATAAATACAGGTATGCCCATAAAGAAATCGATAATTCGATTTTTTGAGTACAAACAGTTCTTTATATCAGAAGTGTGTTCTCAGTGGAAAAAATGGCCCAAGGTGGCATCTTAAAGTAATCTTCATAAAGAATGGTGATAATCACTTGAAAACATAGCAAGGGTAAGAAATTCCTTATCTTAGCACAGTGCTAGAATATACCATATACACCACAGAAGTTGGTGGTATTGTCAGGTGTGAAGAGACACTGATGTGCCTTAGTGAAATATAAGCCAAATATAGTTATATTCCAGAATTAGAAAAATACCTGTTCTATATGTGAGGCTTTCATCCTTCCATTACACCACATATGCCATTCTGTTCACAGTAACTCATTAACTATGCATCTAGGGACTGCTAGCTTTGATATTAGCTGTTACCAGTTTTTGGATCAAAGTTAGAAAGCCAGGCAGTTCCTGTTGTTCATAATCTATGCCTCTGGAACATTGGTGGGCTATATGCTAGACTGAGACCTTTCATGACCCATAATATGAGTAGTCTTTCCTTAGTCCTAACTTAACTGAAGAAAAAATTTAGGTCTTCCTTACCCTACATTTTTCTAAATCCCCATCCCCCCACTAAATGTAAATGTAAAATCACATTTACATTACAAAATGTGATGTAATTTTGAGTTCTTTGCGATATTCTAATTGGTTGTATAAAAATGAAGTGATTTTTGTCTTTATATAAGTAATACATTTTCACTGAAGAAAAATTGGATACAGATAAGCCAAAGGAAAGTAAATACATATAAGCAAAAATTTTAAAATAGGGACTCTCTTGTCCCCCTCCTGGTTTGAGCCAGGATCTGTCCTCTCGTTTTTCTCTCTAAATAAAAGCCTCTGCCTTGCTCTCCTTTAAAAAAAAAAAAAAAAGCTTTCTAAAAAAAAATTTTTTTTTAAATAAGACGTGGGTGTGTGTGGGGTTACCATCTAGAAATTCTGGTGTGTAGTTTGCCAAAATGTTTAGTTGTTTCCAAACTTAGATCATACTATTAACATGTATACTATTTCATTGCATATAAAATATATTTACATAAAAAATAAACATATTTCTTTCCCTGTCACTATTTATTATAACATCATTGTTAATGTCGGTATAGATCATTTAACCGTCCCCAGTGGGGAGGTTAAAAGGTCTTTTGCTGTTTTAAATAGAACTGAAATGAATGTCTTCTAATGTGAATCTCAGTCTTCTGACAATTTGCTTTTCCAAGTGGTTCTCTTGCTTACCTAACCTACCCACTAGTATGATATGGGTGTTTCCTTCTTCATGTGAACAGTTCTACCACCTTTCCAAATGTGTTGTGTTCTCTAAATACTTTTGTTGTCTCTAAACACTTGAGACCCACTGGTGCAGTTCTGTTGTACTGTCATTTTGAAAACAGTCTTTTAGAATAATAGGGCAGAAGGTTTGAACATTGGTTAACCCGGGATAGAAATTGGCAAGGATGATGGAGTTACTTTTTCTTTCTACATTTTTGGATTTTACTTACTACAATAATTGTCACTGTTCTGATTAAAATAATTGATAACTCAAAATGATCTTTATATCTCCATATCTTTTTCTCTTCCTGTTATATCATGTTTGTAACTTTTAAATTTGGGAAAGGTCACAAACCAGGTAAAATTGTTTTTTATTTGTTTTGTTTATTTTTTAGTAGCCAGGGCAGTGGTGAGGACAGGTTGGAGGATGGAAGGAAAATATCTTCATCTCCTCTGCGGCACTTAGCTCTAATCCTCTTAACTTGGCTGCAGTATAATTCAAATTTTTCAATGAAAAAGTAGTAGAAAACAGTACTGTTTTTCTGATAGTTATAGAAAACAAAAACAACAGTTAAGTAGGAAATGATACGGGTTTAGTTTTTAAATGTCTATCTTAAATTTGTTTGAGGGGAAAAAAAAACTGGTTCAATTGGAAAATGAGAGTGTGTATTTGGCCCCAAAAGTTAAACTGTCTATCTTGGAGCAGAAGGCCAGCTAACTAACTCTGTCTTGGACCACATAGCTTCCTAAGTTGTACACATAAATGTACAAGTGTCTGCCCAACCTTCCATCCTTAGATAATAGCCCTGGGAGGATTTGGGGACACAAGGAAAAACTAGAGCCATTTTGCCTTGATTAGAACTTCCTGTTTATTCTGGATCTAAAGTGGAAGACTATAGGCACCCTTTTCCTTTGCCCGGGTACCCTCTTCTAAGTTACCTCACTCGCAGGGCGATTTGGATCCCTTCATACTTAGGAAGGATTCGGGAAGGAGGAGGCTTGGTTGTCTCATGGCTGCTGACACAGTACCTGAGAGTAGATACCTTTGTACCACAGTCCTGTTTACAACTTTATAGACAGGCTATATAAAAAGTTCAGACCCGTCATCCTCAGGCACAGCCCTGGAGTCTTCCATGGTCTCTGCTTTCTTCAGAGAAATTCTCTTTTCTGGGCTTATTCCCCAGTGGTTCATCTAATTGACTCTGCCTCTCAAGCTCTGTTCTGGGGGTAGCACATTTACTACATCCTCAGCTTTCCTATAAAAGAAAAAAATGCCTCTCTGCTGAGCCATACAGTGCTTTGCCCTACTCACCCCAGTAAATTCTGTTGCCTTCCACTCATGGAGAAAATTAAAGGTCTCAGGTGTACATTCCCTGAACTTTTTGCTCTCCTATTTATAAACTCACATCTGTACCCATACTAGCTGTATCTTCTCCACAGAAAGAGCAGCCCCACTTTTAACACGAGTAGAATGATATCTCTTTCTCTTTTTTTTTTTGATTGATGGAAATACATATATATTTTTTAAATTTTATTTTGGTATCATTAATCTATAATTACATGAGGAACATTATGTTTACTAGACTCCCCCCATCACCAAGTTTCCGCCACATACCCCCATTACAGTCACTGTCCATCAGCATAGTAAGATGCTATAGAATCACTGCTTGTCTTCTCTCTGATGTACAACCCTCCCAGTCCCCACCCCACATTATGTCTGCTAATAGTAATGCCTCCTTCCCGCACCCCCCATCCCTCCCTTCCCACCCATCCTCCCCAGTCCCTTTCCCTTTGGTAATTGTTAGTCCATTCTTAAGTTCTGTGAGTCTGCTGCTGTTTTGTTCTTTCAGTTTTTTCTTTGTTCTTACTATCTCATTTTCAATATGTATCTTTATTACTTGTAGTTAAACAATTGTTTACTGACAATTTGTATTTTTTATGACTTCTCTGTTTTTTGTCAGTCTTTCTTTTGGTTGTTTTTTTTTTTTCCTTCACAGGGTAAAAACAATATCCTCAAGGAAAAGATAAATAAATGCAAATGCCTAGAAATCTCCATATATCAAGATAAGGTCACAAAAAGCTATTATGGCATTATTTACATAGTAAATTGGAATCATGTTCAACAGGGAAGATTGTAACTTCGGTACA